AACCAGAACAAGAGAAAGAACAAGATAACAAGGAAGCTCAGGGCTGTGAAAACAGTCCCTGAAATTTGAGAACCAAAAAATGATGCATCCAAAATTACTGTACAGCATACACATATAATGATAGGATTCAGACAGCAGGGTCAGGCCATGTTCTGCTTAAACACAGACTGTTGAATAAACCACTGGCTGGGTTTACACATTTAGTAAGCTAGTTGCTACAAGAGTTTCCGTTGTGATTCTTAAGTTTTTGGTCAATGATCTAAGAAACTGTCAGAAGGATGAAACCAATCTCGTAGAATTAGATACTGGGAGATCGCAGCTCCAGCTTTGCAGCAGCAATTCAGACCTGATAACCCATCCAACAGTTTTATGGGAATCTTTGCCAAAGCTTGCAGAGCAATTAAGTTTAAAGACTTAAGAGAAAGGCCTTTTTTTTCTTATCAACACAAAACATGCCTGCAGTTTAAAGCTGGTAGTTAAATAGAGTGTAATCAAGATCCAAGTGATTTCTAAGCTGCCTTTCCAGATGCTATCCAAGGTGAATGGTTCTGCCTTTCACACGATCTCCCTTTTTTGTGTGTGTGTGTCAGGTCACAGACCTCGTGCCTTTGCCTCAAGAAACCACGGGAAAATGTGTCCCCAAAATTTGCGATTTAGGAATATTCGCGCAAAAATATTCTGACAAGCTGAATTTTCTCCCCAAAGTGTGAGATTAATTATGGTTCCGTTAGCTTGCAAAAGGGAGACACAATGATCCAAATGCCCAGAGATCACCGTATTTTTCAGAGTATAAGACGCACTCTTTCCATCCCCCAAAGTGGGTGGAAATATCTGTGCGTCTTATACAGCAAATGCTGCCGAAACCCCGTCCACCCACCGGCCCCCACCCTTTACCCTCTGACCTCCCAGCAATTTGCCTCCTTGCAGCAAACAGCAAATAGCCTGTTTTAGGTTCAGCACAGCCTGATTAGCACCAGCAGCTGACTGTTGGTTGGATCGGCCTCCCAATGATCAACTGTTTCAGCTGCAGGGATTGTCATTGCCTATTACCGCCTCTGCGTGGCCCATTTTTGGCCTCCACGTGCCCCTTTTTCCACCCATTCCGATCCCCGCTGCCTGGAATGGGTGGAAAATGGGGTGCGCGGAGGCTGAAAACATCTTAAAAGTTATCAAGGTTGAGAAACACTGATCTAAGATAAAGAGAGAGGTACTTATGGTTGGACTTGATGGGATGTAAGATGGGCGGACTGCAACTCAACTTCAAGTTGCTGGCCAAGGAATTCTATTCTAATTTTCTAATATTCTAATTTTCTGAGGTTGTGGATTTGGGGTTTTCATGAGCTGTAAACCATAATCATCACAATTATGACAAATCATGGCTTGAACTATCTTGCTCTGCATGTAATAAGTCTATCTCATATGTTAGTTTCATCGTTTAAGTTGCATTACTGAAATAAATGAACTTTTGCACGATATTCTAATTTTTCGAGTTTCACCTGTATCTCATGTTGGATCTGTAAACGTTCACTGGGCACATGATATAAAGCAGGATTTCTCAGCCTTGGCATGTTTTAAGATGGGTGGACTTCAACTCAATGTCCACACCTCAGCTTCATGGCTGGGGAATTGAAGTCCACCCATCTTAAAAGCTGCCAAGGTTGAGAAGCACTGAATTAAGATAAGGAGAGAGATACTTATGGTTGGACATAAGATGGGTGGGCTTCAACTTGACTTCAACTTCAGCTTGGTGGCTAGGGAATTGAAGTTCACCCATCTTAAAAGTTGCCAAGGTTGAAAAACACTGATCTAAGGAGAGAAGTACCATTCTTCCACTTGTTTGAACTTGGTTTGATATAAGATGGGTGGACTTCAACTTGACTTCAACTTCAGCTTGCTGGCTGGAGAATTCTGGGAGTTAAGGTCTACACATCTTAAAAGTTATCAAGGTTGAGAAACACTGATCTAAGATAAAGAGAGAGGTACTTATGGTTGGACTTGATGGGATGTAAGATGGGTGGACTGCAACTCAACTTCAAGTTGCTGGCCAGGGAATTCTGGGAATTGAAGTCCACCCATCTTAAAAGATGCCAAGGTTGACAAACACTGATCTAAGCTAAGAAGAGAAGCACTTATTGCTCCACTTGGTTTCAGTAGCTTGGAAACCAACCACCTCCCAACTTCAACTGGGAGAATCTGTGCCTACCAGGGTCTCTCCCACATACTTCTGAAGCTTTCCCGTTATAGGCACGGAGGAGTGGGCACTTTGCAAAATGCCAACTTCTCTGCCAGCCTCCCAACTGCAGGCAGGGATGATTAAATAAATAGATCGGAAGAGCCAAAGAACCACCTGCTCCTTGGGGGTTTCGGCTATGACTGATCATCCCTTAAAGGGAGAGGGGGAAAAAAAATCTATTTTCTCAATACAGACTTTTTTTTTTTTCCTAATGAGAAGGCTTGGACAGCTGCTGCTAGCTCTCGGGTGCCAAAGATCAAGCACAATACACTTTTGTTCCCTAGGAATTTAATTTGATTTCTCTCTGCCCTGGTTTTGAAGCCCCCAAACTCGTTCTCAGGAGCCACGTTAGCGCTAGCAAGTCCCCAAATTTCCGGGGACAATTATTTTCAGAACTGTAGTTCTTAGGTTGCTCCTGGCAACACTATGTTCCTCAGAGCTTTTTAGGGTTTTCATTTTTTTTTTGCTTCAGATCCCAGATCCACCCCTTTCTAAACAAGCAAGATGAAGAAAAGCAGTAATTAATAAAACAAAAGCTTCTATCGGTTCTAATGCACCGCCCTGATGGAATGAAGGGTGATGCAGTTATTAGCAAAGTGAGTTTCTTGCCTCCGGTTTTCAAGCAGTTTCTTGCCTGGTGCACGCTGAAGGCTAGAAACTCCTTCATACTTGTTCAAAAATAGCTATCAGTCCCACCGTTTGCTCTGATTTTAGCGTGCAAAGTTGCCTGAAATGCCTGACCTCGACTGAGAAAAGAAAATTCCAAATCTTAAAAAAAAAAAACTCCAGGGCTGAAGAAGATGTGGAGAACTCAGCCGACGTTTCAAAGGATGTTTGCAACTGTTTTCAATTAGCACAACCTTAAAAAGTCTTAAGTAAATCTTAATAACTCTGGAAGGGGGGGTGAAAAATTCCTCATTTCATCTGGCATAAACACATTTCTTTATGAGCCTGTGGATTTATCCTAATATGCTCCATTACTGTGAGGTGGTTTCTCCAATATGCGAGCATTTTGGACATGTCTTGGTGTGTGCTTCCCCCAACGCGATGCTGCTCCTTGAAAAAAATGTGTTGTTATCTGACGGGATAATTATACTCCAGCAGTTCATGGACTTGTTTGGGAAATGCAAATAATGTATGCTTTTATTAGAAATGCAAATCTTAGCACCCCCCCCCCCCCATAGTTTAGCAAATACAAAAAAAATCTGCCCTTTAAATGTGGATGATTTGCCTCATTTTGGAGATCTCAGGAAGAGTGGGCCGAATCCATTTATCACAATGCCCAAAGACCCAAATGTGGTTCATTTTAGACAATTTGTTTCTTCCTTTCTTTAAAGAATACTCCTTATTCAATTTCAGTCAACACTAATGTTTTCCGCAGTACCGGTAGCTCTCCCTTTGTCCGCCCTCAAAACAGCCTCTTGGCAATTTTGTCAGCCTTACTAAACCAGATGGGAAACACGACTCATGGAAGTAATTCTACTTTATTGTAAAACTACATTAATAGAATTTTGCAAGTCTGAAAGTATAATAGTCTCTTTTATAACCTGAGAAACTAGGGAGGGTCCCTTCTAAGTTTCTTTCTTCACCTATTATGCAGCTGTGGGCCATGCCTTCTCTTATCAGACGGTTCCCTAAATAATAATGTGACTTGGTTTTGTCTCCCAAGGTCTTTCCCACATACCATTACAGCCATCTCCTCTACAGGATGAGAAACTAGAGAGGGTCTTTTCTGAGCCTCTTTCTTCGCCCTTTATGCACCTGTGGGGTACACTGTCTCTTATCTGATCATTCCCTTATCTGAACATTCCCTAAACAGCTTCTCTCTGTCCTGTTTCTCGGTGTCTTTCTTACACACCATAGCAACCATCTCCTTTAAACGATAAGAAACTAGAGAGGGTCCGTTCTAAGCCTCTTCCTTCGCCCTTTATGCAGCTCTGGGCTATGCCGTCTCTTATCTGACCGTTCCCTGAGCAACATCTTTTCTCCCTGTCTCCCAAGGTCTTTCTCACATGCCGTCTTCTTTACAGCCTAAGAAACTAGGGAGGGTGTCTCCTGAGAGTCTTTCTCCACCAACTGTAAAGCTCTGGGTGTCAACCTGCAGAACTACTTCAGCTGAAGCCATACTTATTTCTGCTTTGTTTCTTGGTTGCCATTCAAGGGAGAGGGGGAGAAGGGGGGGGACACGCTCAGGAATGTGGTGCTTCAGCCAGCTAGCCATAACATCTACCAGCCGGCGAGAGAACCAAGGTCATGTCAACGGACACCTGTTAGAAGTTCAGCAGGAACCTACATCTGAACCGATTGGCCCATGAGACCCGAGAGACAAAGGCGAGTGGGGAGGTCTTATTCTTTTAACTATCCCTAAGCGTGGGAATAATTTAGAGCTTCACCTTTCGAAGTGCCGATATGATTTGCTCAATAAAGAATCTCTTGAACCTGAACAAAGTGCCAGAGTCCTGACTTCCGTGAGTTCATTACTCAGAACAATGACATCTAAAGACTATGATGCAGCATAGGCAGCATCCCTTCCCCTCCATCTCCTGAGGTCTTTCCCATATACCGTTACCGTCACCTCCTTTACAGCCTGAGAAACTAGGGAGGGTCCCTTCTGATCATCTTCCTCCATTCCTTATGCCGCTCTGGGCTCTGCAGTCTCTCACCTGACGCTTCCCTTGGCAGCATCTCTTTGTCCCCTCTCTCAAGGTTTTTCCCACCTGCCATGACAAACTCCCACTGTGGTTTAAACCGGGTCTCCTTTGCTCACCTCCATATTAAAGGCACTTTCCTCCATTTTTTCGACTTCCATGTCTGCCAGCGGATTCTTCAGATTCTGCAAAAAGAGGGCGGCTTTTCTCTTTCGTTCTGCTTGAAGCTGTTTCTCTTTCGATTCTTTGGAAGCCTGGGCAAGTTTTTCTCTTGCTGCAGCTGCCAACCGGTCTTCTAACTTCTGTTTTGCTGGTGGCGGAGGAGGAAAAGAAAAGAGACCGTCATTTAAACTTAAGGCGTATGGGAGACCAACCGTTTCTTATGCCAAGCTGCATTATTGTCTGAAAATCAGGCAACTTAAAAAACAAAACAAAATAAAACACCCAAAATTTACATGGCCTTTTAAAGATTGTTTGGAAGAAGACCTTAAAAATGTGTAAGAGGCAGAACAAAAGTTTCTTAAAAAAGAAAAGAATATGAAATGCTGTGACTGCTCTAAAAACATCAAACAGCGGGGATTTTCAAAGATGGCTTTTCATTAGCTAACAAAAGACATGATAAAGAACAAAGGACTAAGATGAAATAACAAAGATGAGGCTGCCATAAATTCTGAGAAAAGGTTATTAGGGACAGAGACGAAACAGAGAACAAATCTCAACCCCTCCTAACGCTGATGAAGTTATCTAGTTGGGTAAAGAAACATCTGCAAGGAAACCACCAAGCCCAAGAGAGCATCAAGAACCCTACAGATCTCCTCCACTCTGCAAACCCCATCCCTTTCTAGCACTGATGATGTTACCTAGTTAGGTCATGAAACACCCACAGGAAAACCACTAAGCTCAGAGACCACTAAGGACCCCGAGCTACAAACATTCTCTTCTACTGACGACATCCAGATGTTAGGCATGACCAGAGAGACCTTCTGAAGGAGCACCTAGTCTCTTCAGCTGGAGCTAGGAACTACAGAAAGAACTCAAACAAGGCCTGGACAAAACAGACTGATAAAAAAAAAAAAATAGAGCCCAACTCAGGGCAGAGCAAGCTGGAATGTGGCAGTAACTGTTAGATCCTGGTTACTAAGAACTAAGGCTGCAAAAGACAGCAGAACTGAGACTTAGGCTGGGCCCAGAGGTGTGCGACTTAACAGTCTCTAATCTACTGTCTATTTTTTTCTGGCTCTCACACAGAATTGTTCTCACCATCTCCTATTAAGCTAAAGACAGAGCTTAATTATCTTTTGTATCGCAAAAATTCAAAGGACTCGACTCTGCCCCAATGCTGGATGAACGAAGCAGAAGGCAGATAACCCAGCCACCTCCAACGCCAAGCAGAGACTCAAAGTTAAAGGAAATTTAAGCATTATACAATAGAGGGGAAGATTAATTGGGGCATAAATTGGAGAGATGGGAAACAATGCTTCCAAGAACTAGTTTCTAAACTAAGTTAAACATTCTCGCTGGTCGCTGTCATGTGTGCCTTTGTCTTGCTAATTATTTCTTATTCTAATTATTTCTTAGTTGGTGCAGCTCCCTGCCTCTTCCACAATGGGTACAATTACCATGGAAATGTTTTCTGCTTACGCAGACATTTTCCAATGCTGTGCTAGAACCAAGCGATGGAGACAGAAGGTAGATGTACGCTCAACAGCTTTTCTTGTCGCTAGCTGTGCTAATTAAAATAGCCTGTGTGTGTTTGTACGTGTGACAATTGCAAGCTTGGAAGATGCGCATTTAAGCCACGTCATGTTATGAATGCTTCTCTTAGCCTGGCTTGCTGATTGAAAAAAAAAACCCATTGATTTTATCAGGCAATGGTGCTCTCCAAGTTTTAAGTGCGGATGGACAGTGAATGAGGCTTAAATCACTCAGAGTGCCTTGTGGACGAGTGAATGCACGGTCCCGATAAGTCCAATGCGACACTGTTGGCGCTGCAGGTTTTGGAACAAAATGGGAGGAAAACTTGCAGGGAAAAACTGCCAAGAACCAACCAACACAGCTCTTGGGAGAAAAAAACCCTGCATCTCTTCACCTTTCGTTTCCATGCTTTCAAGAAGAGAGCAACCGTTCAGATGTCTGCCCCTTGACACGACCTGCCTCTGAATCATTACTTGGTTGGAACTATAAGTCACAATTAATTAAAGGGATTCCTGCCATTTATAATCACTGCCCTGCCCTCATAAAATAAACCCTCCTGAATACACTCACACATGTAAAAGAGCTGTGGCTTAAATAAATTAAGGCTTCTTATACAATTTGTCAAAGCATGTTTTTTTTAACCATTTCCATGTGTTTGCTTGCATAAAATAATTTGGCTCTATGAAATAGTTCTAGAACCGCATTGGTTAGAACGCAGTAGCGCAGGCTAACTCTGCCGACTGCCAGCAGTTCGAGTCTCACCGGTTCTAGAGTGACTGAGCCTTCCATCCCTTCTGAGGTCGATAAAATGAGGACCCACCTCACTGTTGTGGGCAAGATGCTGATTGCAAACAACTTAGAGAGGGCTGTAAAGAACCGTGAAGCGGTATATAAGTCTAAGTGCCATTGCTTTAGATTGTCCTAGCCCCCCGAGTCAGGTGATTTCTAATAATGTGGGGGTATTCAAATGGTGGATCTGAACCCCTCTGGAAGCCACTTTAAATTTCATTTATTGTTATTCTAAAATTTATATGCTGCCCATACCGTGGTGGGAGGCAACTGTGTGTGGCCTTGGTATGTGCAGCCTTTATTAATAAGGATATTCTGTATAATTTAGGGCATCCATTCACACTTCCTGGATGAATGATCTGGGTTTAAACAGAACCATTTAAAAAACAATAGTGATCTCTGTTGTGTCTGGTTTCCCAGCAAGCTTCGCATTTCATTGATATTTGACAAACGAAATGGCTTTGCTTTAGTCTGAATGTACATCTGTGGAAGGATATTAGAAAGGGACTTTATCAAGATTTGTAAGCAGTGTTTCAAAATATTGCCTATTTTCCGAATATTAAAGAAAGAGAATGATTTCCACTTAAATTCAGCCTGCCATGTCTTTTTTTTTTAACCTGCAGACATAGAATAAAATACCAAGCAGTAATCATCCGTCTCTGCCTTCTAAGACTTCTTGTAATTAATGTGTGTGTGTGTGTGTATATGAAAAACAGTCAATTTTATTTGCAAATGGCTTCCCAATTTTAAAATTAATAATATGTTTGCACTTTGTAGAGGAGTCTTTCCGCAGCAGCTCAAAGTCAACCCTATGGCTGTGGCCGCTTGGTGAAACTTCTCTTATCAAATTACGCTGCTGCATTTTATTGAATTAGACACACATAAATGCAGATTTAATTATCACCCAAGCGCCATTCTTTCAGGAAAGGAAAAATGGAAAGGAGAATAACATTTCCTTTCCTCCCCTGCCTCATTTATTTTGGGTTTGATGTAGCAAATGTCAAGGACCATGAATGGCTCGGTTATTTTACTAGCAGATACATTTTGTATGTGATGGCTACCTCTGTATAAAATAAGCCAGCATTGCTGATTTACAGTGCACATTTCCTACAGGTAATCCACGACTTACAACCGTAATTGAGACCAGCATTTCCATTGCTTAATGAGACAGCTGTTAAGTGAATTTTGCCCCATTTTGCAACCTTTCTTGCCAAGGTTGTTAAGTGAATCGTTGCAGTTGTTGAGTAACACCATTGTTAACTCAAACTGGCTTCTCCATTGTCAGGTCCTCCATGGAAGGCAGGTTGGTAGCAATTGTTTTTTCTGCAATCCTAATTATCCTCTGGAGTCTATGTCTGTCTTGTTGGGTTGCAGAACCAAACCAGACAGTTATAGAGGTGAGCTGCTGAAAGTTAAGGACTACCTGTACTTCCTTCTCTTTCGTCTTTGCACGAGCAGACAAGAGCCAAAGGGAAGGGAGAATTATTTCATGGCTGGATTCACACAACTTGCAGATGTGTGCAAGCTTCAATTCCTAGAATTCCTTGCTGGCATAGCCGCTGCTGGGAATTTTGGGGCCAGATGTCCATGAAGCTGAGAAACTGCTCTGGGCAACAAACTGGGAGGAAGTAACTGTAATTGCTGCCTACAGATTGCATGTCCAAACAATGCACACTCTGACAATTTAATGGGTGGGCTGATTTAATGCAAGCCGAGATGATAGCGAGCTTGATCAATTACCCAACTCCAGTTCAGCCTAGGAGAGTGCTTTACATGACACCAAGAACCACAAAACTATACAATTTCACCCTCTTGGAAGATATAACGAAGTTCAAACACACTTCGTAATTGTTTTGTGTGCAGGAGATGAACAGGATGAGATGGAAGGTGGGGTTAAGCATGTCAGTAGTTTGGAGTCATTGTGTAGCCACAAGAGGCCCAGACCCCCAGTGAATTCTGGTGACCCTTATCCAGCGCCAATTTAATTTTGACCGTTAGTTGAGGAGTCCTTGGTGCTTTTTGAGCTTGGTTATTTTCTTACAGACGTTTCATTACCAAAATAGGTACCATCATCAGTGCTAGTTTGATGTTACCTAGTTTGGGTAATAAAATGTCTGCAAGAAAATAACCAAGCTCAGAGAGGACCAAGGACCCCTCATTTCAACCCTGGGCTACAAATATTCTCCTTTTTGGACCATTAGTTGACTGGATTCTTCTATATAGGTTGCAATCACAAACTTTTCCGTGCTTTGCTACTGGTTATTTATGCCTGATAATGTATGGCCGGTCTCTTTTGACTAGTGATGTGAGATTCCTGTTTGCTTTCAAAAAATACTTGCTTGCTAATATTTTCTCTAAGGTCCCTTTCAGCTCTACGAATCTCTGATCGGGGAAGCATGGAATAATGCATTTGCCTTCAGTTTCGATTTGGTCAATGGAAAAGACCGTTCTGGTGTGCTACGCATTGGCATTTCACTCTTGACTGCATTGATCTCGGTTAGTATGTAGGTATGGTTTCATCCTCAGAGGAGGCGCCCGGTAGATTTAATGCTTCATTAAAGAGCTGGTATTTTAATGGTTCTGGGTATGTGTGTTGTGCTACGTAGGATGTTCGCTTTCAAAATCTTTATTGAAACAGAACTCACCGCTTCATGTAATAGCCTGCTTCACTGGCTAATAGCTTTTGCAGTTAGAAAGTTAAAACAGAATAACAGAGCTGGAAGAGACCTTGGAGGTCTTCTAGTCCAACCTCCTTGTTCAGGGAGGAAACCCTATACCATTTCATATAAATGGTTGTCCAATCTCTTCTTAAAAACTTCCAGTGATGGAGCATCCACAACGCCGAGAGGCAAATCTTTCCACTGGTTAATTGTTCTATCAATCAGGAAATCTCTCCTTAGTTCTAAGCTGGGTCTCTCTTATTATTATTACCTTTATTGTCAGAGTACAACATGGGTACAGTGAGATTGGCTGAGCCTCCCCTCGTGCACTTGATTAGTTACAAAAAAGAAAATCACATGCGTATCAACAACAGTGCCAAGAAGGCTCCACACCCATTTGCACCAGTCAGGTGACCCTGAGGACGCAGATAAACCTCCAAGTGGCCTCAACGTCTCTCTAAAAGAATGCAAACGACCAGCTGTCTACAAGGAATATAAATCCTTCCATTCCCCTCCACCCAATCAGAGCTGAAGAAGCTTCTGGGATGAGAAGTGAAACGTTTTCAAAAGAAAAAAAAATAACAAAGTCCAGTTGCCTCTTGGGGGAAGAAAAAAAAAAAAGCACCTTTGGGACAACCGTGACCCGGAGGATTGAGAATCTCCGCAGACTTTTAGCTATGCACTTTGGGAGGAAGATCCTTCAAATGGCACAGGAACTATGAAAAGATTTCCAGAAAAACTGCAGGCTGCAGGAACCATCTGCGCTTCAGTTTGAGAGGCAGACAACACAAGACTCATCCCCAGCAGCCTGCACCTGTCTTGAACAGTGAAGGGACACAGGGCAGAAAACATCCTGCAGGAAGCACAACTTCACAAAATTGTCCTTTCAGCAGTTCCCAAGAAGGCTCCATACCCATTTGCGCTACTGCGTTCAGGTGGCCCTAGACCTAGACAAACCTCCAAGTGGCCTCAACGACCCTCTAAAAGGATGCAAATGACCAACTGTCTGCAAGGAGTATAAATCCTTCCATTCCCCACCATCCAGTCAGAGCTGAAGCAGCTTCTTGGATAAGAAGCGAAACGTCTTCAAAGAAAAACCAAGAAAGTCCAAGCTGCCTCTTGAAAAAAAGGCACCTTTGGGACAACCATGACCTGGATGGCTGGGAATCTCCATCGGCATTTGTATATCAACAAAGACAGAGAGTCGTACTTCTTTTGCCCTCTTTCCATCGCCCCCTTCTAGCAATGCTTCGGCCCCGTCTACGCAGAATTAAGCTTTCAAACGGGATGATGTATAAATCCCAGCTGATCCAGGCCACACAATTCCTACCTTGCTTGGCTTCCAGCTCTTCCTGGGTCAGCTGGGGCTTTTTTTCTTCCGGGGCGCTGCCGGAAGGGGTAAGGAGGGTGGCGCTGGTGGAGCTGCTGCTGGCGTTCTCCTGGCCCTCTTTGCCTTCTTCCTCCTCCTCGTCGGTATCGTCGTCCAGCTTCACCCGGTTCTTCTCCAAGGGGAGCATGTCGTTTTCTTTGGCCCGGATTGCAAAGCTGATGGGTGCAAATGACACTGTGGGAGAGAAAGGATGATCTGTAAAAAGCAGCAATTGCTAGTTGAAACCTGTTGGGCCTAGTGGTTGAGGCGCCAGGCTAGGAACCAGGAGACAGTGAGTTCTAGTCTCAATCTTGGGCACGAAAGTTAGCTGGGTGACTTTAGGTCAATTACAGATTACCAGAGTTGGAAGGGACCTTGTAGGTCATCGATTGCCAGGCGACTGTGAATTCTAGTCCCATCTTAGCTGTGACGGCTGATTGGGTAATTTTGGGTCAATCACCAAGAGATGGTGAGTTCTAGTCCCAACTGTAGGCACGAAAGTTAGCTGGGTGTGTCATGCCCTTGCTGGAATCTGATTCTGAGGGGGAGATTGAGCAGCTGACAGGGAGTGGGAGTGTGGCTCCGGTGGCTGTGGAAGAAACGGGGGAAAGGCACAGTCCGGCTGGGCATTCAAAGACCCAGGCCCACCCCCTCTTCATCCTAGGGCACGAAGGGAGGAACGGAGAAGGGAGCAACGTGGCTTACGGGAGAGAAAAAGACTCTGATCCCTTTCATTAGTTGGGAGAAGAGGATATACGAAGGGCATTTGCACACAGCACCTTGCTGGAAGCAAAGTGTGCATTATCTTTGTTGAGGCTTATCTGGGTTTTGGCGTCCTCCCAACTGTGTGTGTGCTTGGTTCTCTTTTGGAAGTCTGCAATTTATCATCCTGGCCTGTTGTGTTAATTACTTCAGCGTGGTTTGTGTTGGTTTTTTTATTTCTAATTTATCTATACTTTGGGTTCGGACTGCATTTTTTTTTCCTTTGTAGACTGTTTTTGGAAGGCTTTGATCTCCAGCCGAGGATAACTGGACATTGGGGGCCAAGTTGGAGGTATTAAAGGGAATTTATCTAGTTTTGTGCCTTTGTTATTTTTGTGCCACGCCCCGGGTCATCACAGGGTGACTTTGCATCAATCGCCAGGCGGCTGTGAATTCTAGTCCCATCTTAACCGTGACAGCTGGCTGGGTAATTTTGGGTCAATCACCAGGAGATGGTGAGTTCTAGTCCTGCCTTAGTCATAAATGCTGGCTGGGTGACGTTGGGCCATTCCCTCTCTCTCAGCTCAAGTCATCTCACAGGGGTTGCTGTTGCGAAGGAGGAAAGTATATCAGATATCTTTGGCACCTTGAGTTATTTGTAAAAAAAATATAAAGGCAGGATACAAATAAATATTTTTACTGCCAGTTGCCAAGGGTGTTTTTGTTGTTGTGGTTGTTGAGGTAAGGGGAGAGATAGGGGGAACAGTCTAATAGAATAGAGGAGGATGTACCCCCCAGTTTCATTTGTGTTGCCCTTGGCTGAATTTTAATTCTCATTTTTGGAAAAAACACCTGTTCTGACCAGGGTAGGACATAGAGGAAGAAAAATGAACCCAGAAAGCAAGTTATCAGAAAGGAGCTGGTTCCGTCCACCCATTTTTGCCTCGGCCTCTTAACTATTTGCAACCGTGTGCTCCTTCAAAGACCTACTCTGACATCCCCTCTCCCAAAAAAGACACGGTCCTTGAACAAAAGAAGATTTCTCTCCCCGCAAAAACAGAATTATGCTATGGAATCCCCTTCTGAGCATGTCACGCCTGGCCGCATCGTTGTTTGGACAAAAGCAGTAAGCTTTTCCCCAGGAGTTTTGGGATTTTTTCAGACAACTAGTTCTTTTCTATGGATTAAGGGTAAGCTCAGTTATCCATCCAAGACCTTTGGGCAATCAAAACAGCTGCCTTGACACACACAAGGGAGGCCTCAGCAAGCTTAGAGGGACCTGTGCTTGCTACTAGCCTTGCGGGGGTGGGGGAGAGAACATAATGGAGGAGAAAAGCAGAACTGCTCGAGGCAAATGGAAAGTACTTAATGTTGGGGATGGAAAGATGCAAAACTTGCAGCCAGAGATCTGGAAGAGGATTGTTTTGTACAGGAGCATGGGGGTCCCTTGGTTGCAAAACAGAAGTGGGCTGCAACCACTGGCTTAAACCGTCTCTCCTTTGCTACTGTGTTGAAGTCCCAAAGGTCCTTAACTTAACAACGGTCTCGCTTAGCAAACATAAATGTTATGCTCAGTTGTGGGCATAGGTTGAGGACTATTTTGCACTGGCTGCAGGGCTTAAGAAAGAAGAAATGCGAAAAGGAAATTAGACATGAGTCCCATTGGGGTGGGGGTGGGGAGAAAATCACATGTATAACAACAACAGTGTCAAGAAAGCTCCACACCCATTTGCACCACTCAGGTGACCCTGAGGACACAGACAAACCTCCAAGCAGCCTCAAGGACCCTCTAAAAGGATGCAAATGACCAGCTGTCTGAAAGGAGCGTAAATCCTTCCATTCCCCACCACCACTCAGAGCAAAAGCAGTTTCTTGGATGAGAAACAAAACGTCTTCAAAGAAAAAAACAAGAATGTCCAGTTGCCTCTTAGGAAAAAAAAAGCACCTTTGGGGCAACCGTGACCTGGATGGCTGAGAATCTCTGTAGGCATATTGTGCTAAAGCCTGGCAAGGTCCTCTGGTATCTATTTGTGTGTTGTGGTTCCCTCTAATTAGCTGTCACCTGGGGATAAAAATACGCAAGGAAATATTGTGACTGTACATCCCGCTGTCTAATTTTTTAAAAGATCTCTCTTAAAGGAACGAGGGGGGGGGTTAATATATTTAAAAAATTGAAAGTGTGTTTCCAAACATGCTTTTTTTTTCTGGAGAAAAGGGCCAATATTACAGCTCTGGGTTGTTGTTTTTTTTGGTTTTTTTTTTTTTAAACTTCCCCCCTACAGACTCAACCCACCACTGCACAGTTGCTTTTAAAGGGGAAAAAAATATTTAGCAAATTGACATTCTATTGAAGGGGATGGAACGAACCATGTGGATATATCTGCCCTGAGGCTTATACCCACTAAGCTGGAAAGGCCCTTTGTACAATAAGCAATTACTTCTGAGAGGTGCTTTTCAACCTGCAGGAAGGTAACTTGGCTTTTTACCCCTGGATCATAACCACCCGCTGTTTGGGTGGTATGGACACCATTTGGACCTGATCAGGCTGCCATTTGTGAAAAATACAACTGGGACCCACTCCTGACATTCATTTCAACGCCGTCAACCTCTTCTTCGAAGCACCTGAGGGCAGGACAAGAAGTAATGGGTGGAAAGTAATCAACGAGAGATCTAATTTAGGACAAAGGAGAAATTCCCTGACAATTAACCCCTAGAACAGCTTGCCTCCAGAAGTTGTGGCTGATCCAACACTTGAAGTTCAATTCTAGGAGGTTTGATTCAGCCCTATGACTGTGAGACAGATAAGACAGGTAGACAGGTACATAGTTAAGGTAGGTAGGTAGGTAGATATGGATGGATGGACGGACAAATAGAAATAGCAGACATAGAGCCCAGTGCTTTACAGCCCTCTCGGATAGACAGACAGACAGACCGAGGGACAGAGATAGATAGATAGATAGATAGATAGATAGATAGATAGATAGATAGA